CTCCCACTCCTCTGCCTCTCCTCCCACTCCTCTCCCTTTTCCTCCCACTCCTCTGCCTTTTCCTCCCACTCCTCTGCCTTTTCCTCCCACTCCTCTGCCTTTTCCTCCCACTCCTCTGCCTTTTCCTCCCACTCCTCTGCCTTTTCCTCCCACTCCTCTGCCTTTCCTCCCACTCCTCTGCCTTTTCCTCCCACTCCTCTGCCTTTTCCTCCCACTCCTCTGCCTTTTCCTCCCACTCCTCTGCCTTTTCCTCCCACTCCTCTGCCTTTTCCTCCCACTCCTCTGCCTTTTCCTCCCACTCCTCTGCCTTTTCCTCCCACTCCTCTGCCTTTTCCTCCCACTCCTCTGCCTTTTCCTCCCACTCCTCTGCCTTTTCCTCCCACTCCTCTGCCTTTTCCTCCCACTCCTCTGCCTTTTCCTCCCACTCCTCTGCCTTTTCCTCCCACTCCTCTGCCTTTTCCTCCCACTCCTCTGCCTTTTCCTCCCACTCCTCTGCCTTTTCCTCCCACTCCTCTCCCTTTTCCTCCCACTCCTCTGCCTTTTCCTCCCACTCCTCTGCCTTTTCCTCCCACTCCTCTGCCTTTTCCTCCCACTCCTCTGCCTTTTCCTCCCACTCCTCTGCCTTTTCCTCCCACTCCTCTCCCTTTTCCTCCCACTCCTCTCCCTTTTCCTCCCACTCCTCTGCCTTTTCCTCCCACTCCTCTGCCTTTTCCTCCCATCCTCTGCCTTTTCCTCACACTCCTCTGCCTTTTCTCCCACTCCTCTGCATTTTCCTCCCACTCCTCTCCCTTTTCCTCCCACTTCCTCTGCCTTTTCCTCCCACTCTCCTCTGCCTTTTCCTCCCACATCCTCTGCCTTTTCTCCTGCTCCTCTGCCTTTTCCTCCTGCTCCTCTCCCTTTTCCTTCCACTCCTCTGACTTTTCCTCCCTCTCCTCTGCTTTATTCTCCTGCTCCTCTGCTTTTCCTCCCACTCCTCTGCTTTATTCGCTGCTCCTCTGCCTTTTCCTCCCAGTCCTCTGCCTTTTCTCTCACTCCTCTGCCTTTTCCTCCCACTCTTCTGCCTTTTCCTCCCACTCCTCTGCCTTTTCTCCTGCTCCTCTGCCTCTCCTCCCACTCCTCTGCTTTATTCGCCTGCTCTCTGCCTTTTTCCTCCACTCTCTGCCTTTTCCTCCCACCCCTCTGCCTTTTTCCTCCTCCCACTCCTCTCCCTTTTCCTCTCACTCTGCTTTATTCGCCTGCTCCTCTGCCTTTTCCTCCCACTCCTCTGCCTTTTCCTCTCACTCCTCTGCCTTTTCCTCTCACTCCTCTTCTTTATTCGCCTGCTCCTCTGCCTTTTCCTCCCACCCCTCTGCCTTTTCCTCTCACTCCTCTGCTTTATTCGCCTGCTCCTCTGCCTTTTCCTCCCACCCCTCTGCCTTTTCCTCTCACTCCTCTGCTTTATTCGCCTGCTCCTCTGCCTTTTCCTCCCACCCCTCTGCCTTTTCCTCTCACTCCTCTGCTTTATTCGCCTGCTCCTCTGCCTTTTCCTCCCACCCCTCTGCCTTTTCCTCTCACTCCTCTGCTTTATTCGCCTGCTCCTCTGCCTTTTCCTCCCACCCCTCTGCCTTTTCCTCTCACTCCTCTGCTTTATTCGCCTGCTCCTCCTCTGCCTTTTCCTCCCACCCCTCTGCCTTTTCCTCTCACTCCTCTGCTTTATTCGCCTGCTCCTCTGCCTTTTCCTCCCACCCCTCTGCCTTTTCCTCTCACTCCTCTGCTTTATTCGCCTGCTCCTCTGCCTTTTCCTCCCACCCTCTGCCTTTTCCTCTCACTCCTCTGCTTTATTCGCCTGCTCCTCTGCCTTTTCCTCCCACCCCTCTGCCTTTTCCTCTCACTCCTCTGCTTTATTCGCCTGCTCCTCTGCCTTTTCCTCCCACCCCTCTGCCTTTTCCTCTCACTCCTCTGCTTTATTCGCCTGCTCCTCTGCCTTTTCCTCCCACTCCTCTACTCATTCCTTCTACTTGTCAACCTATTCCTCCAATTTCTTTGCTGTCTCTTCCTGCTCCTCTGCCTTGTCCTCCTGCTCCTCTGCCTTGTCCTCCTGCTCCTCTGCCTTGTCCTCCTGCTCTTCTACCTGGTGCTCGTGCTCCTCTGCCATGTCTTCCTGCTCCTCTGCCTAGTCTTCCAGTTCCTCTACCCTCTCCTCCTGCTCCTCTGTCTTTTCCTCTTGCTCCTCTGCCTTTTCCTCTCACTCCTCTGCTTTATTCGCCTGCTCCTCTGCCTTGTCCTCCTGCTCCTCTGCCTTGTCCTCCTGCTCCTCTGCCTTGTCCTCCTGCTCCTCTGCCTTGTCCTCCTGCTCCTCTGCCTTTTCCTCCACCCCTCTGCCTTTTCCTCTCACTCCTCTGCTTTATTCGCCTGCTCCTCTGCCTTTTCCTCTCACTCCTCTGCTTTATTCGCCTGCTCCTCTGCCTTGTCCTCCTGCTCCTCTGCCTTGTCCTCCTGCTCCTCTACATTGTCCTCCTGCTCCTCTACATTGTCCTCCTGCTCCTCTGCCTTTTCCTCCACCCCTCTGCCTTTTCCTCCCACCCCTCTGCCTTTTCCTCTCACTCCTCTGCTTTATTCGCCTGCTCCTCTGCCTTGTCCTCCTGCTCCTCTACATTGTCCTCCTGCTCCTCTACATTGTCCTCCTGCTCCTCTGCCTTGTCCTCCTGCTCCTCTGCCTTGTCCCCCTGCTCTTCTACACTGTCCTCCTGCTGCTCTACCTTGTCCTCCTGCTCCTCTGCCTTTTCCTCTCACTCCTCTGCTTTATTCGCCTGCTCCTCTGCCTTTTCCTCTCACTCCTCTGCTTTATTCGCCTGCTCCTCTGCCTTGTCCTCCTGCTCCTCTGCCTTTTCCTCTCACTCCTCTGCTTTATTCGCCTGCTCCTCTGCCTTGTCCTCCTGCTCCTCTACATTGTCCTCCTGCTCCTCTGCCTAGTCTTCCAGTTCCTCTACCCTCTCCTCCTGCTCCTCTACATTGTCCTCCTGCTCCTCTACATTGTCCTCCTGCTCCTCTGCCTTTTCCTCTCACTCCTCTGCTTTATTCGCCTGCTCCTCTGCCTTTTCCTCTCACTCCTCTGCTTTATTCGCCTGCTCCTCTGCCTTTTCCTCTCACTCCTCTGCTTTATTCGCCTGCTCCTCTGCCTTTTCCTCTCACTCCTCTGCTTTATTCGCCTGCTCCTCTGCCTAGTCTTCCAGTTCCTCTACCCTCTCCTCCTGCTCCTCTACATTGTCCTCCTGCTCCTCTGCCTTTTCCTCTCACTCCTCTGCTTTATTCGCCTGCTCCTCTGCCTTGTCCTCCTGCTCCTCTACATTGTCCTCCTGCTCCTCTACATTGTCCTCCTGCTCCTCTGCCTTTTCCTCTCACTCCTCTGCTTTATTCGCCTGCTCCTCTGCCTTGTCCTCCTGCTCCTCTGCCTTTTCCTCTCACTCCTCTGCTTTATTCGCCTGCTCCTCTGCCTTTTCCTCTCACTCCTCTGCTTTATTCGCCTGCTCCTCTGCCTTTTCCTCTCACTCCTCTGCTTTATTCGCCTGCTCCTCTGCCTTGTCCTCCTGCTCCTCTGCCTAGTCTTCCAGTTCCTCTACCCTCTCCTCCTGCTCCTCTACATTGTCCTCCTGCTCCTCTGCCTAGTCTTCCAGTTCCTCTACCCTCTCCTCCTGCTCCTCTGTCTTTTCCTCTTGCTCCTCTGCCTTTTCCTCTCACTCCTCTGCTTTATTCGCCTGCTCCTCTGCCTTTTCCTCCCACTCCTCTACTCATTCCTTCTACTTGTCAACCTATTCCTCCAATTTCTTTGCTGTCTCTTCCTGCTCCTCTGCCTTGGCCTCCTGCTCCCATACCTTATCCTCCTGCTCCTCTACATTGTCCTCCTGCTCCTCTACATTGTCCTCCTGCTCCTCTGCCTTGTCCTCCTGCTCCTCTGCCTTTTCCTCCCACTCCTCTACTCATTCCTTCTACTTGTCAACCTATTCCTCCAATTTCTTTGCTGTCTCTTCCTGCTCCTCTGCCTTTTCCTCTCACTCCTCTTCTGTCTCCTTCCTGCTCCCTGCTACTCCCCCTTCCCTCCACCACTATGTTTTCTTCCTCTTCCTTTTCTTCTTCCTTACACTTTTTTACCCCTACTCTTTGGCCACTGCCACCTCCTACTGCTATTCTACTCTTTCCTCACGTTTCTCTTACACCTTTCATTCCTTGTCCTTCATTCTTCCTTCACCCACCACCCTCCCTTGACACTAAGTATATTCTTTCAGCTGAAACTGACATTGAGACCTTTCCATTTAAAGAGTCCTTGGATTCCTTGTTCTTGTGGGATAAACAGTTACTCAGTGAACTTTAGATGTTAAGTGTGCATTTTCCTGAAATAGTTTTATTTGTTTGAGCTAAGATTTATTTTATATATTTTGTTTGTGGAAATAGGATTGTATCTGAAGCCTTTCGTCATAAGATGGAAAACTACTGTTAAATTTTGTCAGATTTAAAATTTCATGCTTGCAGGGAAATAAAGTGTGAACTCTAGGTGCTCTATTGGTTTAAAAAAAATTTCTTCTGGCATTACTCGAGCTAAAAGTGAAGACTTTTACTATTATCTTTCATGCTTGTGCATCCTTGCATCAACAGGACGTTTAGCTGTAATCACTCCTTAATCTCTTTGATATATTAGTTTTTTTGTATGACCAGGGAAGGATATTTGAATTACTAAAAGCTACTCTTTAAAGATGCTAAAATTAAATGTGTTGTTAGATTTTTGTCTAGATTTGTCCTAATCATTTTTACTACTTTTTAAAATGCACATAGCAGTTGTTGCTTTCCTTATTTATGGCTATTTTTTCAGTACTGTATCTGTATGTTTACTTGCATTTTGTTGTCCTTTTTGGGAGAGGTTGTCATCTTTACACTTGGGAATCTACAAGAGTATCCAGTTTTATCTGTGGATCTGCTGAAGATGAGCCATTTTTTAACAAACAGGAAAAGGGAGTTTAACTAGAACAAATATTTAACATAATATATTAAGAAACAAACCATGCAGGTTACAAAGTGGCAAATGTTAAAGTGCTGGATCTAGATCCTGGGAACATCATTCAGTTTGCTCAATGTTTTAACATTCAGGTCACAAATGTTTGTAGAAGAGTTTCATTGAAAATAAATGCCATGATTGTTGTTTGGTTTAGATAAAATACTTCAAAACCTTAAGAAAAAGACAAAATACTTTTGGAAGAAGCATTTTCCAAGAAAATTCAAAGCTACTAGATGTGAAAGTGTACATGTAATAGGGAAAGTCTTTACTTTACTTTTAAAGTAATTTCACTGATCTCAGTCTGGATATTTTCAGGCACTTCAGAATTAAGTTGGTGAATTAGTAGGATCTTTAATTAAGATTTGAAAATGATATGAGGCGAATGACAGGTACTCATATGTTATAAAATTTCAAACATGTCTAAATTGTTTAAGTGCAGTCCAAAAGAAATTGGTTTAACTTTTTTGTATCTTCTTGGCATTACTCTTATCAGCTACATTTTGAATGTACTGTTCTTTGTATTTGGAATCTCCATTCACCACATTCCCTGGCAGTCTAGCCAGCAATTGTTTTGTGTCTATTGTGGGAATGTTCGGCCATTCTGAACGGGTGCTTCTTCGGCTTCGTTGTTAGAAACTCTCAGCCTGCGCCGAGCACCTGCTCCAGGCCGGCGTCGACGGCCAGTTTGCCTTGTGGCTGTAGTCGTTGATTCGGGGGTTGTGGAGGGAGGAGAATCAGCCTGAGGAGATGGTGTTGTTGTGGTGGTTGCTGCAGTGGTGGTTGCAGGGGCTGAGGCAGTGGCGGGGACACTTGTGGGTTCATTTTTGCTCTCCTCGATTTTTTTCCTTAGTTCAGCCTTCAGGCCAGGATTTGCCCTCAGGACATCTTCTATGGAGATGGGGCGAATGTCGAGTGTATTTGCCACCAGTACTCCAAAGCTGCACAGCACCAGTGAGAGCAGAAGCTGTGAGAAAAATACATTAGGGTTGCTATATATAAAATGCAGGGATTACGGAAACAGTCTGCAATTGACTGTAAGATATACCTGGCTAGCTCATAGATATCAGGAAATCGTGTAAAATACAAGATAGATAGATACTAATTCAGATTAGTAGTGTAAGCGCGCTAGCACGTTCGCACGTCTATGCATGCGTGCGCAATCACACTAACAATCATTCCCTTACTCACTCACATTTTAATCAAACCTAATAAGTCTAGCTATGGCCATATTCATATATATGAAAATGTATGTGTACACGCACGCACCCCCCCCCCCCACACACACACACACTATATGAGCATGCACGTAAACACAAATATACATGCATATGTATATGCATGAACATAAGCAAACATATTAATATGCACATAAAAATGAAATGAAACCACGGCAATATGAAAATGTATGTGTGTATTTATTTATTCATGAATTAATTAATTCATTCATTCATTCATATAATGTGGATATGTTTGCTTTCACATACGTGCATGCATATATACACGCATATACATACAACCATGTGTGCATATAAATATAGAAGTGTTGATAATATTCACATTTTTTCTAAAAAACCAAGTGAATGGATGAAATCGTCGTGCGCGCACAATTGTTTCAAATGTCGATATTCAGATGATCGCTGCAAGTTACACAAAATATAGTGAAAGTAGGTTGTCGAAGGTAAAGTGGTTTATTTGACACTACCTAGTTTGTTTTTTTTTGGTTCAACTGGGTACTGGTTTCGGGGAAAAACATTGATGGGCAGAGGAACTCGCCAGATGGTTCGGCTGGGTTTGAGGAGGCAGTGACGGAACCGGAATTTCGTGTTAGGGTGGTTTAGGGCATATGGTGAGGTGGGGAGGGGGGTATGGTTAGTAGGTTAGGACGTGGCAGGGACAGTGAGTAGATCGAAAGTGCTGATAGGGGTGTGTGTGTGTGTGGCGGGGGGGGGGGGTCACGATTTCATGGATTAGAGACTTGAGATCGGTGACTGTAGTGATGAAAGGTTGATGGTGATGTGCAAGGTGTGTGTGTATGGTGTGGTGTATGGTGTGAGTGAGAGATACGTTGCTGATTGTTAATGTTAGATTAGTTGAGGAGAGAATAGGTGAACCTGAAATACGCCGATGAGTCATGAGTAACGGGGATTAGAAAAAAATGTAAAGATACCAATATAATAATAGAGAAAATAATAATGGAACTGATAAGTTTGTCGGGAAACAGTAATGATTGTAGGTGGGAAGAGGGAGGGGGAGATGTGTGTGTGTGTGGCGGGGGGGGGGGGTCACGATTTCATGGATTAGAGACTTGAGATCGGTGACTGTAGTGATGAAAGGTTGATGGTGATGTGCAAGGTGTGTGTGTATGGTGTGGTGTATGGTGTGAGTGAGAGATACGTTGCTGATTGTTAAAGACTTGAGATCGGTGACTGTAGTGATGAAAGGTTGATGATGATGTGCAAGGTGTGTGTGTATGG